TATACTGTAACGTAATGTCAATAACATCAACGGTAACGTCGAGCGGAGACTAATCATATCATTAGTGCACCGCCAGGTACGTAGTTGAATGAACTAGGTCCTGCGCGTATTGATCGCGCGACCTATTTCTTTCTGTAAATAGGATGCTACAATCAACCGCCCGGAAAACCGCAAATCATTCCGTGGTATTATGAGAACTTATCGTACATTATTCACGTGTTGACAATATGATGATTACGCTATCGCTTCCTGGTTGAGTATGTTCAAGAAATGCCGGTTTGCTTAACTAACTAAGCTAACTTCGTTAGCTTATCCCAGTTCCGCAAACATCATAAAAGGTCAATGTGAAGTTAAATTTGATGTTGATACAAGAGAAAACTCGAAACTACAAACAGCAGTGACTAGACACTTACCGAAGATGGTGTTGTTGGGGTTCATCGCCACCTGGTTCTTGGCGGCATCACCGATGAGACGCTCGGTGTCTGTGAATGCGACATATGAGGGCGTGGTCCTGTTGCCCTGGTCGTTGGCGATGATCTCCACCTTACCATGCTGGAAAACTCCCACGCATGAGTATGTGGTACCCAAGTCGATACCTACAGCTGGTGCTTTGGCTGCCATCTGTAACAATAAATCACAATGTTCAATGAAATAAGTGTCTACACCATACTATTTTTGCATTCGAATACCTACATAGGCTATTATTCATCAGAGAAGCCGGACATAAGAGGTTATAAGCCGCCATTTTGTACCATGTAACGTAAAATCTAGAATTATCACGTGGGAAAACCGTCGAATACTTTAAACGGTAAATCATTCACGAGTTCCCCAATAACGTACCTTCAGAAGTGTTGAATCGTTATAACTACAAAGCAGAAACTGCAACGGCGGCGGCCATTACACGGAAAAATCAATAACTACTGTAGAACAGCGGAACGTTCCAGAACAAATCGCGAAAAAATTAGAAACACTACGGATGCACAGTAATCGACATCTTAATAAAATCATTAATATGGAACACTGGAAACTTAACACCTGCTTTCTTTAGTTACCACGTGGTTCTTTGAAGATGAACAAAGACGGCGATTAACTCACGTGCCAAACTATTCCTTTATATATTCACTAAAATCATTACCCTGCGATAACGTGGATTATACAAATTAAGAATAGTAATTCACACAACTAGACAACAAAAATTATAAAGACTTCCCGCCTCGTCACATAGCAACACAAAGAATTTGCAAAATTATAAAGGAAATTAATAATATAAAGATTAAACTATTTAAATAAATAAAATATAGTAAAATAGTAAATTGTGCACTTACTTTTTAGATTTTAATGTAAAACTATCTCAGTCGTTGACTCTTGTAGAGTAAACTCAGCAAAGGTGCGCGATTGACGGCTTCTTTTCACGAAATAATATGGCGACGGAATTTCACCGCAGAGTTTATAAGAGCGGGGATGCGTCATTCGACGTCACTCGGTTGTTCTGGAATATTCCTTGGGTCAACCAATAGGATTCGCTCGCTCACTGCGTGCTATTTCCTGATTGGTTCGAAATTGACATCTGCAGCACTTTTTTGAACATGGCGTAGTTAGTAGTGATGTGCATTAACGGGTGTGGTCCAACTTATCGATAAAATATATTCTAGAAGGGTAAACTTAAAATAATGTCATATTTGGTATTTAGAATAATTATGGTCTTTATTTGCAATGGATATATCATATAACTATAACTCTACTTTAAACTTGATTGCGTTTAAATTTATTTTATGAATTCTTTTCAATAAAGTCATCATCATTTCTTGCACGACGTAGTAGGAAAAATGTCTAAATGTGTACATCATATTTAACAACTTCTATATTACAAAATCAATTAACAGTATACCACGATTTTAATAGTTTTTAATGTAAACATGGTTTTTTTTTTTTTTTTTTTTTTTGAAAACCACCCCGTTCCTTCTCCTGCACGTCGAGCCGGAGCCCCGGTTACCCGTTAGGTTCTCCGCGACTCCGAATCGGCATCGGCCCTATTGGGCCCCATCTGTGGTGGTCTGATGGCTCTTTGAGGCGCGCGCGGAACGCGACGCGCCGTACGCTCGGGTCTGTTTCTGGTCGGACGGGGAGCCACCCATGCTCGCCGTCCGCAGGCCCGCGCTTACGGTGGCCGGAGATCGTCCCGCGATCCCCGACGCCCGGTGTGTCCTTCGCGATGGCTGGGTTGCGAGGAGGCAGCGCTTCGCTGCCTCACGCGTCCCGCCTCCTCCTTAGCTAGCATGACTGCTTCGCAAAAGGAGGAGACGGCATCCCAATCCCCCTCGCTCCGCATCATGGCCTGCACTAGGCCCGGACGCGAGAGGTCGCCATCGCCGATCACTTCCCTGAGGACACGGCGGTGCTCAGCCCACGAAGGGCATTCTCCCACCGTGTGTTCCACCGTGTCCTCAGGGCGGTCCTCGCAGTGATGACACCCGGGCGTTTCCTCCCGCCCCATCAGACACAGGTACCTCCCGAAACTTCCATGTCCGGTGAGGACCTGCGTCAGGCGGTAGGTGAGGACGCCGTAGCGTCTCTCAAGCCACTCCTCAAAGAGGGGACTTACCGCTGCGATGGCAGCGAGCCCAGCCCTCGGTTGCGACAGTCGTTGCTGCCATTCCGCCATGAGATCGCGCCGGAGCTCATCCCGCCACGCACCTATCTGGCGCGGCAGCGGGGTTTCGCCCCGGCGACGTGCCTCCGCGCGCATGCTGTACACGCGCGCGAGCACCTTCGCCTCCAGATCCCACGGCGGTAATCCGGCAAGGAGGTTCGCCGACTCCCCAGAGATCGTGCGGTATCCGCGGATCATTCGGATCGCCATGACCCTCTGTGCCATGAGCAGCGTCCGAGCGGGACGCCGCAACAGGTTTGGCGCCCAAACAGGGGCGCCGTAGAGGGCCATGGACCGCACGACCCCGGCGTATAACCTCCGGCAGGAGGCGTTTGGCCCCCCGAGGTTGGGGAGGATGCGTTTAAACGCAGCCCCCGTCCTCGCCAACTTTGGAGCCAAACGTCGGAAGTGTTCAATGAAGTTCCACCGACTGTCGAGGACGAGTCCTAGGTACTTCATCGTCGTCTCGACGCCGATGGTAACTCCTCCCGCCGTTATTTGGGACCCACCCGGAGGTGGCGCGTTCCCGCGGCCATGAAAACACATGGCCTCGGACTTGTGGAGCGCCACCTCGAGTCCCAACTGCCGGATTCTCTCAACGACTGTCGCAACCGCTGTCGCCATTAAGTCGGCCGCCGCCTGGTGTGACCTCCCGTGCGCTAGCACCAGCGTATCGTCGGCGTAGCATATTGTGCTAACGCCGTTCGGGAGGTCGGTGCGCAGCACCCAGTCATAGCCGATGTTCCACAGGAGCGGCCCCAGAACCGAACCCTGTGGAACACCGCGTGACATCTCTCGCCGGTTCCACTCGCCCCGGTGACCGGGGTAGCTGACGGACCTGTCCGTCAGGTAAGCCTCGATTACACGACGGAGGTAGGTAGGCACCCGATGATATCGGAGTGCCTCCAAGATGCAGCTCCAGGGCAGGGAGTTGAAGGCGTTGGCGATGTCCAGAGACACCGCCACTACGACCTTACCCCTGGACACTGCAGTCCCCGTCGTGAGGTCTCTAACGCGCATGATGGCGTCCACCGTGGAGCGCCCTCTGCGGAAGCCGAACTGGCCGTCCGACAAGTCCGGCCCAATGTCCGTCAGGTGCGCGACGAGGCGGTTCGAAATGATTCTTTCGAAGACCTTCCCCACCTCGTCGAGCAACACTATGGGCCGGTACGCGGACGGAGAGTCCGCAGGGCGCCCCGTCTTCCGCACGAGGACCAGTCTTCCCGCTTTCCAGAGAAGCGGGAACTGGCCTCTCTCCAGACATGCGCTGTAGAGACCAAAATGTAAACATGGTTGCATGGTAGTTCTCGTGGAACAAATCCAATTATTTATTATGTTTAACGGATTATATCCAAATACTCAAACGCTACTCAGTTTACGCGCGTCTTAACGCGCATATAGTTCTGTTATATGACAGGACTGATTATATTGTTTGCAGAACATTAACCAATATTTTATTTTTCGATAGTATAATTATTAATACACTCCTTATCGATATTATTAATTTAGTTTTCCAACACTAACTGCTACACTAGCGCTACTTAAAATCGGCGGTAAATTTAAATTATCAATATATTTTTCGAGTCATTAAAATATTTCATTTAATGGGATACAGTTAGACACTAGATAACTTATAATAACACCTTTCAACGAAATTAAATTTTAATTAGACCAACTTTTAAGTACATACTTTCCACACAAATATTAACTAAAACGCACGGGGTTTGAAGTACTAAACGGAATTTGCAATACTGCCCTCTGTTGCGCAACATGAAAATTATTTTTTCTGGAATGTACACGAAGCCGGAAACTATAAAACAATCGTTATTCTATAAACTATAGAAATATAAATGCCTATATTATACTTAATTCGTATAGTTTTATATATCACCTATAACATCATAACATAACACAACATCACGTCTTTTGGCCTCGAAGGGGTAGGCAGAGGTGCACATTCCGGCACTTAATGCTACCAATTATAAGTTCCATGTAATAGGAGGTGAGCCTATAGCCATAATATACCGGGCATAATTCCAGACTCCGTGCTACTACTGAGATTTTTTTAAATCCCCAGTAATACTTAGCCCGACCTGGGAACCGAGACCTCTTGCCCGGCGCGGTAGTCGGACTTGCGACCATTTGACCAACGAAGCAGTCATCTATGCATCAACACAGACATCACCTATCTTCACCAATCAGCCTTTTTAACCTTTATTAGTATAAATAAACTTTACTTACATACACATAAAAATAGGGTATCCTAACACCCCATACTTTATTCAAAAAATTACAACAAATAATGTAGGCAGGTAAGCATGCGTTGTTTCCAATAAATACAAACAAGTTATAATTTTCAGTATTTATTATAAAACAGTCCAATACAATACAAATCAATAATAAATAGAACATTCCTAATCCTACACAACCACCTAGATTCAATTCTTATTTCAGAATTTCCAGATTCATATAGAAAGCATTTTGTGCTAGACCTATTATGTACATAACATACTAATAGTTTTTGTACAGTTGACTCACAATGAATTGGCAAAAAAAATATGATTAAGAGTGAATTCAATCAGTAAGAATGTTGCATCATGATTAAATAGCCACAACAATAAGTTTGCTATCTATATTTCAGTAGCTCACTTGTCAAAAGGGTATGTATCATTGCTGTAGGAAGACCAAAATCAAGGGATTCACACACGTTAAAACAAGAATAACACAATACTTGCCCCATTGCCATTACATACTATTTCAGTAGTATTGTGCAACAAAATCTCAACAAAAAGTATTATACACAATGTAAATGAAATCGTTGAGATCTTAAAACAACTTCTCTTCGATATCTGTGTCAAGGACTTGCTATTGTAGTATTGAAGTTTATATACTCTTTGGACATTACATAACACATTATAGACAACCTATATAAACAAATATAATGTATTTTTACTGTGTAACCATATTTACATTTCTTTCATGTCATTTTGTATCTTTATCTACGTAATGATTAATGTTTTTACAATACAGATTAAGGGTTCACTTAAATATGTTCAGTAACAGGAAATATCATTCATCTTACAAGTTACAACCAATCTTTTTTACTCGCACAAAATAATTCAACTTGTGACTAGAACTCTAATGACTACAGAGTCTGTATATCACGAGATTCTGAAATAGGTTTGGTAGGCGAGGCCAAGAGACGTTGTGAGGAACCAGGCGAAGCAGCACCACCACGTCGCGAAGCCGAACACGCCTCGATACACGTCTACTGTGAATACCTGAGGATGGAAAGACATCTCATTTATTACATGACTTGCAAAAATAGTTCTTAAGAAAAAGGTTGAATGTGATTAACAAAGAAAACAATAAATCTATGTTAGTACTCTTGTGTGTCAAACTCGCCACAACCTCCCAAAACCGGTGCCTTCTGTAAGCCAGGATCTACAGTAGATGCAATACAATCACGAAACCACCGAAACAATGAAGTCCGGCGCGTCTCAGGGACAACTGTCTAGGATCCCGGAACTAAATAAATCCGAAGTTATTTGATTTATTTGGAATATTCTTGAAGTACTGAAGCTTCCTTCCCAATATTTTCTTCTTAGCTTCCTTCCCTTCCTCCCTTCCCAATATCCCCCCAATCCCCAACAATCCTCAAATCCCTAGTCCCTAAAATGCCGGTAACACACTTATTATAATGCCCATGGTGTTTCGAGTGTCCATGGGCGACGTCGATTGCTTACCATCAGGTGATCACTTTGCTTGTTTACCGGCTTATCCCTTAATTATGCCCTTCAACTAAATATTTTTCGTTTCAACTAACCATTTTCAAATTCTCCCAAGCAAGCTGGAACTGTTCAATACCATCTCCTTCTACTATACTGTCAGTCACTGTTGGTGTTTTATCATCCATGGTACAGACTTCTTGGCTTTCATAGAAGAGTCCGGTCCATGTGTACCCACCGAGGGTCTTGTACATCAGAGCCATGTACAGACACATAATGATAGGACAGATGTACTGGAGGGCTACTACACATAGGTAGTAGAATACTGATGCAATCTGCAAAAAGATGTTTTAACATAAAAAACGACATAAAATTCCGTAAAACGGTATCGAAAAAAGAAGACATGGGTTACAAAAGAGAATGTCGTAATATAAATCGAGAAAAGCTGTTTGGACAGAATTAATTAATTAATGAACGAAACAATAATAAACACAGAGTTCTTATAATAGTAATGTCAGTAGCATCTGCTGAAGGAGTGCAACATGCAGGTGATAAGTACTCATAAGTACCTACTGTCTTTAACATTATTGCCTGTTTCCTAGTGATTTGGAAAAAAACTCTTCTAATTATAAATTTGAAATCTCCAACCCGCATTGAGCAAGCATGTTGATTAATGCTCAGACCTACTCCATGTGAGAAGAGACCTTTGGTTAGCAGTGAGTACTATCTTTAACATTATTGCCTGATTCCTAGTGATTTGAAAAAAAAAGCTCTTCTAATTATAAATTTAAAATCTCCAACCTGCATCGAGCAAGCGTGTTGATTAATACTCAAACCTTCTCTGTGTGAGAAGAGGCCTTTGATCAGCAGTGGACATTTATAGGCTGCTGTTGATGATGGTGAGGATGATAAATAATTTTTTAAATCCTTCCACTTACTTTCTTCTGCAGGTCAATGTTAGTAATTCTGCCAGCTTCTTTCTTTTGCACATCTAGACGACGTTGTGCCATGTCTAAGTAAGCCTGCAACTGACGCGGCATCAATGCCAGCCGGATAACGATTGTGCTCGCCACTAGCATTATACGCATCGTGTCGAACGCGTCCGATGTCATTCTGCAAAGAGGTTGAAGAATTATTTTACTTGTAAATTGGCTTCAGAGGATTTTTCTTTCAATTGCCTATGTTAATGGTAGAAGCAGTAGTGACAATAAAATTGTGCCTATTGTCCATCACATAGTTGATCATTCGATATTTCAGCCTATATAAATAGGTAAGGTAGGTAATATTATCTGTAACCACACTATAGCTAGGTTTCAGATTTAATTCAAAACAGTTGTTCTAGAGATTACTGCATTATGAAGCTGAAGAGCAAAAAAATCCGACTACACCCAACGGGAGCCAAGCATAAAGTAATACTGCGCGACCATAGCTAGTGTTAAATAGAACTTACAATGGTTTCTCCATCCCACTGAACACTCTGACTGTAAGGTAATGCCTTGTAATGGGACGCACCCACAACAATACTAACACAAATGGCATTGCAAAATTAAAGTTGAGCAGTAGTGATTTCATTTTATTGTCTCCATAGTATCTGAAATTCAAAAATTAAACAATGATTTTAGATAGTTAGACTGAATAGATAGTGATTTGTTCAATAATGTAACTATTGAAATACAGGAACCTACTTTATTGTAGACTTACCTAAGTGAGTCCCAATGCATCCTGGCGACTCTTAATCCAGGGAAGGTGAATAAAGTCCCAATAATAGCTGCCCACACAGCAAAGAAAAATTTTAATATTAACTTTGAGGCTGGACCCCTGAAAATAGAAGAAAATAAATTTTAATAATCTAATCATTATTGCTTGAAACTCTGTTAGTTAGGAAGAACATATTTGTATTCAAGCATTCAGTGCATTTACAGAAAATAATAAAAAATTTTACAAGTCACCATAGGTTAGACCATTTTATCTTGATTTTATTTAATCAGACCATTAGCATTTAGTTTTCAAGTTACATAACAAATAACTTCAGAAACTTACACAGAGGACAAGCCTTGGTTTTCAAGGAACTTTGAGGCATTTTCATAGAAACTGTCATAAGCAGGGTCGACTCCCACTTCAAGGTTGGCATCACTGACGATGAGCACCATCATAGCAACCAGCAGGAACACACAGAAGGCCACTATGCAGGTGGAACGTTCACCGATGGACTCATCACTTGTAAAGTACTGCTTTGTCAAGCTTAGTAAGATTTTACTGCATTGTTAGTTAAGGAATTTTTAATATTTAAGTGGCAGCTTACATATAGACACCATATAGATATGATAAATAGAAAATGTACATATGTGAAACAGTTAAGTATCACATTATAATTAAAAATGAACAGGCTTCTTCATCAAATCATCAGATAAAATATCATAATGAAACAAGCCCTTATGCTCCCTTTTTTGGCACCCTGTAGATTGAGGATGATAACATAATTTGTAAAGGATACAAAGAGAACAGCACAACTAGAAGGCACCACACCATACTCAAGTTGAACTCATCCTTGAGTGGGAATACTGAAGTGTACACCTGGAAGTTAAAGTTATATGTGTTACATTAAAATAACCCTTACAGTTGACATGATAAAGTCCTAATTGTAGTACATAGCTCATAAATAGTAGTAATAGAACAAGTATTAGACGAAATTAACACTTACCTCTGACATAAGATACACTATGGCTGTGTACAGTGAAAAATCTACAATCCACACATACTCAGTATAAAACCTCAAGTGTACCACATCCAAAGGAGTCACGGGCGCCGTCTCCAGCTGTATATCCAGACTTCGAGGAACATGGAAAGTCTCCGGCTTCCCATTCGACTCATGTTTACCTCCTTTCTTACCCTTCGAAGATTCTTTTGGAACTCCTGCCAAACTCTTTAACTCACTGTTTGTAGGATACAAGTATCTGTATAACCTTTGTGAGCATAGTAACCATCTTGCGAACGAGTAACTTCCCAACTTTTGTATCACTGATACCATAATCAGTGTGATAACTAATTGAGCGCCGAGCAGTGCCTGCAATGTAAATAAAACGCAATGATTCACACAGCCGTGCACAGAATCTATCTTTAGACGAATATATTAAGTTTACACACCATTTCGTCTGGATTTTCATTCACATTTATGTCTATTCATAGTCTAAATTTGCTAAATTATTTTCGTTTCAAGCTAAATCCATAACCTCAATTCTTTCCTCCCACACATTCATAAACGAACAACTTAAAAAGTGTAGCATTGAAGTTTAAAAAAATATATATCAGTTGACGTAATAACTGGACTCAACCCATGAGAAAAGAAGAGATGCAGAATAAAAACATTGCTAACTAACTGTCAAAACTAGGTATTTCTAATTTAGTTGGTTATTATTAGACATTTTTAGGGTTTCTTCCAGTTTCCTATGACTTTCCTGAAATATTTTTGAAGTATATTTTTATAATTTGTGACATATTTTTTTGGAAAAATGGAGTACTAAAGAGAATACGTTGAAAATACAATTTAATTTGTTGTTTTTGTTAGAAGCATGCTTCATAAATATACTCCGTAACGTCAAAAAGCAAATCAATGGTATGAAAGAGACAAATATATTGTTAAAAAGAGAAAGCAATAATCAATGTTACCACGTAAAACCGGATTCCCTTATGTGAAGTAAAAACATAATAATCTTATTTATATAGCTACATTACACACAAAAGTCAATAAAATCTTATATGTTAACTCCGGATATAATTTTGTCCGACAAATTAAGGTATATTATACACAATTTACGACAAAAAAATTATTTCCAAAAAAAATATAAGTATACATGTGTTAATGAATCAAGTTTCCAAAGAAAAATAGTATTATGTAGCTTAATTCAAAACAATAAAACAACAATGTGAACTAAGTTTTGAGGACACGAGATATTAATTTTTAGGTATAGGTCTACAAAAGTTAGGTGACGTCATTCCTATTTAGTAACGCATGGGAATGGGAAAGTAAAGTTTTCGCCGTGTATCCCCAAACAAGACCGTGTTGCGCACGATGAGTAATGTTCACTTGAAAGTTATTCATATCGATTGATTTGTCTCCACTAGTAATTTGGTTTCGTCGCTGCCGAAGTCTGCTCGCAGACTATTGCGACGGGGCCTTTTTCTGAAGTTGGATAATTTTTATTTTGTGTTGTGTGCTGCAATAAACCGTGAAAGATGGGGTCGTTGTTTAGGAGTGAAGAAATGACATTATGTCAACTTTTCCTGCAGAGCGAAGCCGCGTATGCATGCGTGTCTGAACTCGGGGAGCTGGGTCTCGTGCAGTTCCGAGATGTGAGTAGTGCCATGTGGACCATGTTATACGCCCCTTTTCTCTAATATTATTGTAAGACGATAGACAATGTATTGTTTCGATAAAGAGAGAACTATGACCTCGTTTCGCGTCAGATCGTGTTTCGTGCCCTGATTTCATGATAATAACGATTTTAGGTGTAATTATTACGAGGATAACAGCATACTATTGTATAATAATCTACACCTATTACTGTCTTCTCTCAGCCCATCTGGTAATTTTAACATGGGCATAGATGTTTGCCAATTAATATTAAATTCTGTTAATGTTTTTATCTAACAAGAGCATCCTGTTACTGTGGGTATGTGTCTAGTTATGTGTCACATTCTCTGTTATTGGTTTGTAATAGGAATTTACAAAACAATAGCTTGGCTTGGTTGATGAAAGTTTATTGTTGACAGAGTATTCCTTAGTGGGAATGTTGGAGCCTCTTGTTAGAATACAATACTACAACATACTTGAAGACAAAAGCCATACAGTACTTTGAATTAACTAGTTTCACGAATACTTAGTTATTAGAAAGGTCTATCTAAGTACTTACAAGTTAGAGAAAAGAGGAAAGTTTTATTTGTCTATGTTTTTAGTTACTTAATAGTTCAATGACCTGACAATTATCTGTCTTACCATAATCATATGAAACATCCATAATACACCTTTCTTTATATTGTCCCCTATTACAATAGGTTGGTACTAGTATAGATTTGCAGAATGTAACCATCATGTGACCAGACGCTTGTGGAATTGTTAATCTGTCTTATTCAATAAATGAAAACTGGTTCCATATTGATTTGATTCCAAAATTGGTGTTATATTGCTTATATTTCCAAGTCCTAACATAAAAAGTCCTATACAGGTTGTCTTGTACATCTTCATAACTCTATTTTCTTTGTTGCTATATATTTCCAGCCAGTATTTATATTAAAAAAAAAGTTACTTCTTACTCACATTCCAATTGTTCATTCAGCCTATTGAACATTAGTGCCAACCTAACATTACAAATAAAAAAAATCATGTGATTGATTAAAAAAATGTGATTGGAATTAGTTATATAAGTTGGTTCAAATTAATTACTTCACAATCAATGATAAAAAGGAATTATTTCTGATAAGTTCACACACACCTAAAAACTGAACTTAATCTTATCACTAGTGTAGGTAATTCAGAAAAAATATCTTGAATGTGTATTTGGAAATACTACTTTCCATTAAAGTCTCATCTGCCGGTATATGAGACTCAATAGAAATTATATTGTTTCCTTCTTATATCTTCATTCTATAAGACCAAAGACTAAAGTTTCATCTAATCATTGTTTATGGGTGGCAAAATTTACCACAAGTTTTGAATATAGAAACTTAATTGATTGGAAAAGAGTAACCTATGGAGTTTCTTGCTCGTTCTTCTCCATAGGAATCTACACCTTGGAAAGAGCAAATAGCTTCACTTTTAAATTTCTATTGCTGACGTTCAAAAGTGCCTTCCTGATCTAATTGAAATAAATGATTTTTGACTTTGATTAACTAATGATACATAGTTTGTTCAAACAACCCTGATTGTGGTGTAATTAAAATAAATGATTTGACTTTGAATTTTAAATTGGCAAATTAAGAATTATCAAAAATAACTGTAGAATAATATTAACATTTGAGAAGTTACCCCTGTGATAAAATTTGACTGGCATAGGAAAAATCTACCCTTATTTTTAAGCAGTTAAATGTCTTATTAAATCATCATTTTTATTAAAGTTATGATTTTAAACATATTTTTTTCTGTAGTAGTTATTATGGGGAACTGTAGGATGATTTTTATTACATTAATTAATAAAAGTATTATAAACTATAATATTTAATAGATAGTGACGGTTTCCAGTATCAGGTTATTACCCAGGCCAAATGATTCATAATGAACAATGAACGCAGCCACAAGATATTAGTTACCTATTGTTTGAATCTATTTATTTAATTGTTTGACCAACCTTTATTGTTATAAATTTTAAGAATTGTAAGAGGATATTGCAGTCCTGCCAAGGTTAGTGCCCTTGCTGCAGATCAATATTAGATGTTTAAATTAAGTTAAATAAAATGTAAGAAAATGCTACTAAATAACTAAAAACGTCCTTTTAACAGTCATGTGTAAAATATAGTTTCTCTTTCAATAAGTATATTGTAGGTGACTACATATATACTACATATAGTTAGCGATTTGCATGCACCACGGCGCGTGCGCCATTTGTACCCTGGCGCATCGATACCGCGTTGCGGAACGTCGTAACTCTACGTAACTGTTGGTAGACCAATGCCAACATATTGTATTATGACCTATTTCTTGAAGTTATTACAATGCTTGTACAATATTTGAAATAATCACACAGTCCCCTGTCTATCCTCCGTAGTTGAGGTAGGTAGAAGTAGGTACAGCTACGAAAAATCGTTCTTTTGAAAGTAGACACGAATGGCATTCTACTGATTTTAATGATCGAATGATAAGGTTCTTTTTTGGGAAGACGATCAAAGAATAATTGAGATAACTGGCCCAAAATGCTCCAGAAACATGTCTGAGTCTCAGTATAACAGCAGAATCTACTTACCCACCTAATTAACATAACATTTTAGCCATCAGATCTCCAATCTCCATATTGTCTGGGGTCATATGACCACCTCTTAAAATTCAATGCAACAATATTCACAGCGTTCCTAAGCAGCATGTTTTCATCAGCCTATTGTTATAAACACAATGTCTTCTATTTTAAATAACATCGTACATTTTTCATTGAAGCTTTGTATTGTTTCTCGACATAACAGTTTGACCTTCATCTTAAGAAAATTCATAGAATTGATCGTGAAAATTCCTTGTGTATTCCTTTGTTAATTACGGAGAGATGCAATCGCCTGAATGCTAATGATTTTATTTATTTTTAATTTAGTCTCGTATTCAGATTGTATGTACTTGTACGTAAATTGTCATAAAACTAGTTACCTATTCGATCAACAATGAAACAGCAGAGGAATAAAATATGGTGACTAACTTTACAACCATCTTTATGATAAGCGTCAGTTACTAGGCTTGCCGTCTACGTACACAGTTTTATGGTCACCCCGCATGGGTCGATATTCTATTGACAGAAGTCGTCGAGGGGAATTAAATAATATTTATTGGCAATTATAGATAGCCATGCCACTTGAATCTACTGATATTGCTGACAAACAAAACGCTAAGGATAAATGCAAAAGACTGCAGAACGAATCGGACACGCGGTAGCGAAACCATGCCAATTACCTACTTAGTCTAATCATTCAGTTTTAAATTTTCCGTTCTTTTAAAACCAATTTAAAACTTGTATTATTTTGCCCTCTAGTTAAACCCAGACGTGAACGCTTTCCAACGCAAGTTCGTCAATGAAGTACGTCGTTGTGATGAGATGGAGCGAAAGCTCCGATACTTGGAGAAGGAGATCCGTCGTGATGGAATCCCCATGCTCGAGATCCCGGGCGAATGCCCTGAGGCCCCACAACCGAGGGAGATGATCGATCTTGAGGTAAACCGTTATTCATGACTGTCAAATATGACTAACTAACTGTCGTGCCAGCTCAATGTAAATATTTTGAATTTTTCTCTCGTAGGCTACATTCGAAAAGTTGGAAAATGAACTCCGTGAGGTCAACCAGAACGCTGAAGCTCTGAAGAGAAACTATCTTGAGCTCACAGAACTCAAGCACATTCTTAGAAAAACACAAGTTTTCTTTGACGAGGTAAGTTTCTACAAGTACATAGAGCTCACGAATACAACCACCAAGGTCTGCCTTCCAATAAATTCACAAAATTATAAATCTGTTAACGTGCCTAGTATCAAGTATGTATCATCGTAATAGTAGCTGCCTCGTCAATAAATCTCTAATGATAAAATGCCTCAC